CATCTTACAACACAGAATATCCGTGCTAAAATGTGGCACCACAAGGCTTCAGTTCAGACACAGTGGTAATACCTTTAAAATCCCCTAAAGCCCCTTAGTGTGAACGTGTGTGTCCTTCCATACACTGTGAAATTGGACTCAGACGACGCAGTCAGTCTCAGACATGTTTTGGAAAGGGCACCTTAAGGTTGTGGTTTCTGTACAAACACATCACACTACTGTATGTGTCTCTGGAGGAAGAAAAAAGGGGGTGTAGCTGTCAAGTTATCAATAGCAGGCCTATGTTAGCATTCAGTACCTACCAGAGCTGTACAGGAAGGTTTAACGGAGCAGAGGGAATATTTTCTAGGGAAAAGGTGGCTTATTGTATCTAGAAATATGAATGAATATTAACCCAGAGGAAAATGTCCTGAATAATAGTGATGCCTGCTCACTTAAAGATGAACATCAACTGACATTGAAAGAAACTAGACAGAAAAGCTATGCAAAGGGACAAACATCATTGAGGCCTACACATTTTTAAATATTCCCTGTTATTCTTCCCCACGTCAGAGTCAAGTAAACAGTGGCCAGATGGTTTGAATCAAACTGCTGGATCAACTCTACACTCTTACATCTATCATACTTCCATATGCTCAGCATATTTGCAGCTCCTCTGTGTGGGCACTCTTGGTTTTAGTTATAGCTAATAATTAAATACCCTACGAGGCTGAAATCTGGGGTTATTTTGTATATTGTGCATCAAACTCTACTGCTGTGGCAACAGGTGTCTTGTGGCTCTTTCTAACACTTAAAACCTTTTTCATGGTTAAAAAGAAAACTGTACACGCTTCCTCTTACAAAATATCATAAATATTATTGTAATGTGCAGTAGTGCATTACTTGTATACAGAGAGCACAATATGTAAGGGAAGGGTCAAACATGGAAATGGGGCACTACTATTGTGTTCAGGATTACATCTCATAGGGTCAATTTTTGCAGTTTTCTAACCAGAAAGATGTCTGAGTCAACCACAGGGACATTTTTGGTGACCAGAATGGCGTCAAGCAATCAGAGAGTCATTCAGGGCTCACAGGCAGCTGGATCTATCTATGTTTAACAACACTTGCTTTCTGTTTTAGCAGGTTAGAGGTGGAGCAAATGCATAAAACTTCAAAAAACTAGAACCAGGGTGAGCGTTTTTTCAAACAAGCAACAGGTCAATATTCTTATCTGCTTCCTTAGGTGTTAGACGAGTTAGATGAGACCAATATCAGTCTCTTGTCTGCACGCATATGAATCTGCAGCCAGCAGCTGATTAGCTTAGCTTAGCATAAAGAATGGAATCGGGGAAACAGCTAGTCTGGCTTTGTTTAAAGGTAACAATATTATCTTATCAGTACCCCGAAAGCTCACTAGTAAAACTTTACATATGTTTGTTGATTCCATACAAAACTATTCTTTCAGTACTTATAGTACATATTTAATTCATACAGTTTTCTTAAATTTGATGCTTCACAACATAAAGTATCTCATATAAGAAACTGTCTGGTGTGCACAGTTTACATGTTCATGTAAAGAGTTAAACGTGATAACCTCAATAGTTGATTTTGTATAATATAATGTTTATAGAGTATAGTCAGGTTTATTGCCATTCTGGGTAAGAGATACTTTCTGATGTGCACTACAAACTTGTGGAAAAAACATTTTAAACCTTGTCCCTGCAGCTGTATTTTTAAAATACATACATGGAGGACTTGTCTTTTTTCATCTCCTAAACTGATAATTACATGTCATAAAATCTACCTGAATGGGCCCAGTATTCATTATTTTGATTTACAGAAAACATGATCCAGTCTTCTTCGCGCCATGAGATTTGTCTTGACATTGTCTTTTTCTTTTTCTTCCTGTGCAGCTCAAATAATGGAGAAGTCCAGATGCACGCAACAGTTAGCGTTCAACCTTCTGTTTGGGTTGTGGTTTACTTGCTGTTTGGCCCAGACCACACCATCAAACACAGCCACGCCGGCACCCTCACCATCCCCGTCCCCCCAGTCCCAGAGTGAACGGCTAAAGGTCAGACTGGCTGGATACCCACGAAAACACAACGAGGGTCGGGTAGAGCTTTTCTACAAGGGAGAGTGGGGAACCATCTGTGACGACGACTTCTCAATATCCAACGCCAACGTGCTCTGTCGCCAACTGGGCTTTGTCTCAGCCACAGGATGGACCCACAGTGCCAAATATGGCAAGGGCCAAGGTTAGAGTGACCGTAGCCACTTTCTGAGATTCAGTTTCTTGTTTAATACACTGTCTGTTCTGCCATATGGGCATTTATAGTGTTTATTCAGATATTAAGTAATATCTAAACATTTAAACGTTGGCAGTTGTAGGTGGTAATCCCCATTTAACCAAAATTATTATAAATACTTGAACAATGTGGATTTATATTTTTAGCCATGCTAGCAGTGTGGCTCTAGGGATCACAGTGTCAGTCTGTCGGTTGGTTCGCTGCTCTGATTCATACTGGACTATTTCAACATGTACTGTTTGCATTGGCACAAAAATTGTACAGTCCTTCCTGGTTCCCAGACAATGAATTCTAATGATTTTGGTGATCCTCTGACTTTGCTCTAGCACCACCGGCATGTTGACATTTGTGGTTTAGAGTGAAATATCTTGACAGCTATCGGAGGGATTGCCAAGAAATCGGGTGTCCCATGATAAAGTGTGGTAACTGACTATTGAGGTTGCCATCAAGTCTAATGATTTGATTGTCCAATATTTAAGGCTATGAACTAAATGCTGAACATACCTGCTAAATAAGCATGTTAACCTTGTAACTGTGAACATGTTAACATACTAATATCAGCATTTATAATGTATATCATGACTATTCTTTTCAAATCTTTATGAAAATATGAATTCAATTTGTTTCACAGTTTGACCAACTTAGGGACTTACATTTTTGACTGATTCCCTTATTCAGCCTCTTCCTTGTCTAAAATAAATGCAACTGTGGAGAGCTCACTGCCAAAAGTTCCTAGACCACTAGTGTTACAAGCAACCAAGTGTCACTTCCAGGCCTGGACTGATTACTTTCCACAGGCCTGGGAGTGTGCTGGGGCCACACTGACAGTCTGCTGCCTGTCCAGGGAAAATCTGGCTAGACAACGTGCAGTGTAACGGAGGAGAGAAGAGCATTGAATCCTGCAAGTCTCGCGGCTGGGGCAACAGTGACTGCACTCACGATGAAGATGCCGGAGTTGTGTGCAAAGACGAGAGGATTCCTGGCTTTGTGGACTCAAATGTTATTGATGTAAGTTGCTGAATTACATTTAAAGAAATTTTCTAATTTTGCTGCAGTAAAAAAAATGTGTGTTCATTAAGAAGCATTTAGAAGACCATAAATGTTTGCGTAAACAACCCTACTGCTCCACAGCCTATAGACTATAAGGTTTAACCCATATGGAAGGTATTCAGTGCCTCAGTGCAACTCCATCTGTAGCTGCCACACACATGGTGTTAATAAGCTTTGCTCTATACCATGTGTCTGTTAAATCTGTTAAAAACAGCAGCCTCTCTGAGTATATTGTCCTGAGGCGAGAGCTCTCGAGCTCTCAGTAATCCCAAAAAGCCTCCCATAACAGAGCGCAGCATCGGTTCCTCCGACTGATTGTTTGAGCAGTTGTAGGGAAGAGCAGGGTCGTGACCTCTGGGTCGCCTGGTTCAGATGTTAAATTCCGCCGTTGTAATGTTGACCCGTCCCTCAGCAACATCTCCCAGTTAGGGTTTAGTAATAAGGTGAAATCTTAAAGGATTAACTCACCAAAAGACGGTAAATAAACTCATGTTTCCTCTTATCCAAAGTGTTTTCTCCATTTGTATGGAGATAAATAGTAGTCTGACGTGCCTTGTAGATGACACTGTTCAGTTTGCTCTTAAAATAGGTCTGTGTTTGATTAGTAAACCTTGCTGTTGAGATTTTTAACCCTACCCTAACCCAAATGACACTGACTTGTCAAGCTCTACTCTTTGTGCCCTTGACAGAGGAGGCACTTCACTCCCACAACCTCCGGTGGAATTATTCAGAGACTGTTTGTATTCATGTTCTCTCAGGTGGGAACGATGGCTGAACGAATGTGAAGCAGAGTGTTTCTGAAAAAGACCAAGTGTGCTCAGTAAACCCTGCCTGGATAAATAAAGATTTAAGGTGTTTCCAGCTGGTCATCATTTTCCATTTGTCCTCTTTGATGTCCATTTGTATAACCGACTGGTCCGAGGTGAACAAGGTTAGACCGGAGACTCGTTTCCAGAGACCACTGGAAAGATTGGATGGGGTGTCGCTGTAACATAGAAGGATCTTATGAAATAAAGTTTCATAAGAGTAAGTGGGTGGACTCTCAGATACATAACTACTCTCCCCCTCTCTGTCTGTTGCTACGAGTCAGGCTCAGTCAAATGTGGCGCCCAGACTTCACTTTGTGACCACGGGTAGTTTTTGTTTCCCAAATAAACCACAGCGGAAGTGACTCATTGCAAAGCTGGCAATCAGAGAAAGTCACATTTACCACATATTGAGAAGATTGACCTAAAATTCCTCTCCATAATAGCTATGACTTATTGTTTAGTCTCAGCCTTAAAGAGATGTGCATATGTAAGCACATGTCTGTATGCGTGGACGTGTCAGTATGATCATTGTAAAGGAAAACAACCACAATGATTTTCTGCAAACTAAAGCCTCCTGTCCTTATTTATTAGAAATCAATCATATAAAACAAAAATTCTTCACTAC